GCATACACGTAGTCCCAATAACATATGCCCTATATATTCTAATTGAATCAAGCTCAAAGTTTCATACCCAACAAATTATATCATCTCCTTTCCTTAAATGAAGACCAGTTTTAAAGCAAACCTTGTTAGAATATACACTTGTGGGTTGTCCCACATCATCTATACAGGAAAAATAGGCCTAACTTATAAGTCTAGTGGGCTACTCCTCCTACCACCAATTGGTTTTGGGATGGAACCTCATTTGGGCTTCATTTGGGGCTTCCCTGATTTGGTGCGCTTCGTCCGTGGGACCGCATCCGTCAACCCCCGTTTGTCATGGTATCAGAGCCGATTCACCCACTCTAGTTGGGCTTGGGCCTACATGGGACCGTGCAATGATGTACCCGTCACCCAGCCCAGTTGGGCTTGGGATTCCGAATGACTCACAAGTGAGGGGATGTTAGAATATACACTTGTGAGTTGTCCCACATCGTCTGTACAAGGAAAATAGTCCTAACTTATAAGTCTAGTGGGCTACTCCTCCTACCACCAATTGGTTTTGGGATGGAACCTCATTTGGGCTTCCCTGATTTGGTGCGCTTCGTCCGTGAGACCGCACCCGTCAACCCCCGTTTGTTACCTCCCACCAACAACAGTGAAATACGAACTTTGTGTTGAGTCCGGCCCAATTGTTGGCTTGGACTAAATAAGGGCCAAAGGCCCATTTTCTTTTATAAAAGAAAAATAAATAAATAAAAAACTACTTCAAAACCCTTGTGCACAGACAAAAAAAAAAGGAGGACAGAAACAAAGTAAAAAAACACATCCCTTTTCTTTTCATTCCCGCAACTGCACTGCGCAGTCCCAGAAAATCTCCGATTCCCGGCGATTGCACCGTTGGATCGTCACCAAATTTTTACAGCAGGTTCAGGACTTCTTACCCTTCGTTTTGAACGATGGAGATCAGATTGGGCTGTCTGTTTTGTGTGTGACGTGAAGGGGCAGATTTTGTGTTTTTGTTGATTTGTTCTTGTGGTTAGCCAAGATCTGTATTGCGATCTTGAGGATTGTTGTTTGCCTCTAGTCTGGTGATTTAGAGAGGATTTCAGTTGTACCCATTATCGAATTGATATAGTGGATGATTTAAGCGGCCTACGGGTCCTGTGGTTTTTACCCAATTTGGGGTTTTCCACGCTAAAATCTTGTGTCATTTTATTGCTTGCTTGATCATCGTTTGGTTGCTATATCTTGTGGTTATTAATGTTGTTGATTGGACTTGGTTCTTATTATTCGGTTAAAGTCATTGTTGTATTTGGTGGCTTTAACCACAACAAAGTGGTATCAGAGAGCCAGGTTGGTTCGTGTACCTTGACCAAATCATGGAGACTAACACAAGCCGGATGATTACCTTGAATGGGTCTGTTGACGGACGTTTCCGATCAACGGTTAAAAAGTTAAGTAATGAAAAGATAATAGGAAAAAGACCAGGAATTGTGGTTTAATCACGATTTTATTAAGAGATCACGAGGTCGGCCTCTCGTACGAGGTCGGCACTTGCGATATACTTACAATTTTCTTACACGAGTTTCTTACAAGTCTAGAGAGAGAAAATATAGAAAGAGCTTTACAGTTGGGATTCAACAACCCAAAAATAAATGAGGGGGTTGCTATTTATAGTGGCCTTTAATGCGGTACTGTTTGAGTACTGTTCACCGGTCTTGTCGTACAGTAGTTCGGCGGGACAAACCGGCGCTTCTCTGACCGATTGAGAGTGATTTCTGGGTCTTCTAATCATTACCTGCCACGCATTTAATGCGGATGTGAGCTGCATTTAATGTGGACACGTCTCCTAGCCGAACTAGACATCCTAGTCCTGTACACTAGTCTGGGATGTCCCATCGGCAATCATTTGTCGACAAGTGGCCTTATTTTATTGTGTTTAACACTGTATTCCTATCAGGGGCCGCCCTCGCAAGATCTTGAACAGGGTGCCGACCTCGGGATCGGCTCGTAATTGAGAGGTCATGGTGCCGACCTCGGGATCGACTCTACCCGCCGTCCCTGGTGGCTTTGAATTTTATTCAGCTCGGCACCCACGAACGACTTTGATAACCGGCACCTTCGGTTCGACCGGCCCCCGCTCGGCTCTCAGTCCGTCTGGCCGGTACTCTTATTGGGGCCGGACTCGGATATTAACAGGGTCCAATTACCATGTGTGGAAAGGAAAGATGGAAGATCTCCTGTATGTGAAGGATTATTATTTGCCTGTGTTTACTGATGAGAAGCCAGCGGATAAAACCGATAAAGAATGAAAGCTTTGTCACCGTCAGGTGTGTGGCTACATTAGGCAATGGGTAGATGATATTTTCCTCAACCACGTTAGTGAAGAAAAGCATGTACGGACCTTGTGGAATAAACTTGAAGAGTTGTATACGCGGAAAACCGGGAACAACAAGTTGTTTTTGATCAAGCAGATGATGGCTTTGAAGTACCAAGATGGAAAGACTATGTCAGACCACTTGAACACATTCCAAGGAATCATTAATCAGCTGGCTGGAATGAATATCAAGTTTGACGATGAAATACAAGGGTTGTGGCTTCTTGGTACTTTACCGGACTCGTGGGAGACGTTCAGAACGTCTTTGTCTAACTCAGCCTCGAATGGAATTTGCTCCATGGATATGGTGAAGACCAGTGTCTTGAACGAAGAAATGAGAAGAAAATCACAGGGTTCTTCTTCGCAGATGGATGTCTTATCGTTAAAAGGCGGGGGAGAAGTAAAAGCAAGGGTCCGAATGATAGTAATCGAAGTAAAAGCAAATCCGGAAGGTACGCCAACCTTGAGTGTCACCATTGTGGCAAAAATGGACACATCAAGAGGTATTGCAGAAAGTTCCTCAGGGAGAATCCGAATGAAAAAGGCAAAGAAAAGAAGGGGGCTGGAGATGGTGAAGACGGTGAGAAGGTAGCAGCGGCTACCGATGATTTTCTTGTCATTTATGAAGGCGATGTCGTCAATCTCGCTTGCCAGGAGACTAGTTGGGTTATCGATAGCGGTGCTTCGATTCATGTCACATCGCGAAGGGATTTCTTCAGGTCTTATACTCCCGATGACTTCAGAAGTGTTAGGATGGGAAATGATGGTATTGCTAAGGCAATTGGCATGGGAGACGTGAACTTGGAGACTGAGAATGGAAACACCTTAGTTTTGAGAGGTGTGAAGCTTGTTCCCAACATTCGCATGAACTTGATATCTACCGGCAAGCTCGATGATGAAGGGTTTTGTAACACCTTTCGAGACGGAAAGTGGAAACTCACGAAAGGATCCTTGATTGTGGCGAGAGGGAAAAAGTGTTCCTCATTGTACGTGATGAACGTGAAGATTGTGGATCCTATGATAAATGCGGTGGATGATGAACGCATTGTAGAACTTTGGCACAACCGACTTAGCCACATGAGCGAGAAGGGCTTGACAGTGTTGTCCAAGAAGAATCTCCTCCCAGGTGTGCAAATGGGTTTTCTAAAGAAGTGTGCTCATTGCTTGGCAGGGAAGCAAACAAGAGTTACCTTCAAGAGAGTTCCCCACCCACGCAAAATGGGTATTTTGGATATGTTCCACTCTGATGTATGTGGTCCAATGAAGACAAGAACATTTGGTGGTGCCTTGTACTTTGTGACTTTTATTGACGATCATTCAAGGAAGATTTGGGTGTATATGTTGAAGTCAAAAGATCAAGTTGTAGACGTCTTCAAGCAGTTTCATGCTCGTGTGGAACGAGAAACAGGTGTGAAGCTTAAGTGCATCCGAACAGATAATGGAGGTGAATACTGCGGCCCTTTTGATGAGTATTGTAGGCAGCAGGGTATTCGACACCAAAAGACACCTCCGAAGACTCCTCAGTTGAATGGGTTAGCTGAGATGACGAACCGGACACTAGTTGAGAGGGTGAGATGCTTGCTCTCGCAGTCACAGTTACCGAGGTCCTTCTGGGGTGAAGCCTTGAGTACAGTGGTGCATGTTTTAAATCTTACTCCATGTGTTCCATTGAATTTCGAGGTTCCAGACAAGATGTGGTCGGGAAAAGAAGTTTCGTACGATCACTTGCGTGTTTTTGGATGCAAGGCCTTTGTTCATATTCCGAAAGATGAGAGGTCGAAGCTCAACATGAAAACAAGGCCATGTGTGTTCGTTGGTTATGGCCTTGATGAGTTTGGATACAGGTTCTATGACCCAATGCAGAAAAAGCCTATAAAAAGTCGAGATGCGGTGTTCATAGAAGACCAGAATATAAAAGACATCGATAAAGCCGAGACGACAGAGAAGTACAGCGATGATCTAGTTGATTTAGATCCAGTCCCTAGACCTACTGTGTATCCTGATCAAGGGGGAGCGGCACCAGAGATTGATATTGGTCATGCAAATAGTGATGATGTTGAGCCAACTGATGAAGTTGAAGAAGGGGTTCAAGTACCACCAGAAGAACCTATTTTGAGGAAATCCAGTAGAGAGCAGCGTCCATATACGAGATACTCCTCAAATGACTATGTGATGATACCGATGCCGGAGAGCCAGAAACTTACCAAGAGGCGATCTCAGTCGATGAGAAGAAGCAGTGGTTGAAAGCCATGGAAGAAGAAATGGAGTCTCTTCACGAGAACCACACTTATGACTTGGTGAAGTTACCGAAAGGTAAGAAAGCGCTCAAAAACAGATGGGTCTACAGATTGAAGATCGAAAATGCTAGCTCGCAGCCACGATTCAAGGCATGATTGGTTGTGAAGGGGTACGGTCAGAAAAAAGGAATCGACGTTGAAGAGATATTCTCACCGGTGGTGAAGATGTCCTCGATTCGAGTTGCACTTGGTTTAGCGGCGAGATTGAACCTGGAGATCGAGCAACTTGATGTGAAAACTGTGTTTCTTCACGGCGACTTGGAAGAAGAAATTTATATAGAGTAGCCCGAGGGATTCCAAGTTCAAGGCAAAGAGCACCTTGTGTGCAGATTGAAGAAGAGCTTGTATGGCCTTAAACAAGCTCCGCGGCTGTGGTACAAGAAATTCGACTCCTTCATGGTGAGCCAAGAGTACAGCCGGACATCGTCAGACCATTGTGTGTTCGTCAAGAGGTATTCTGATGATGATTTTATTATTCTCCTCTTGTACGTTGACGATATGTTGGTCATAGGCCATGATACTAGTAAGATTGCCCAGTTGAAGAGAGAGTTAAGCAAGTCTTTTGCGATGAAAGACTTAGGAGCGGCGAAAAAGATACTCGGTATGAAGATCTCTCGTGATAGAAAAAATGGAAGGCTATGGTTGTCCCAGGAAGACTACATCGAGAAGGTACTTGTGAAGTTTAACATGAGCAAGGTAAGGATGGTGTGTTCTTCACTTTCAGGTCACTTCAAGCTTAATTCGGAGCAATGCCCTACAAGTGAAAAAGACAAGGCAGACATGAGTCGAGTTCCTTATGTGTCTGCGGTTGGCAGTTTGATGTATGCCATGGTGTGCACCAGGCCCGATATTGCTCATGCTGTTGGAGTAGTCAGTTGTTTTCTCTCCAATCCGGGAAGAGAACATTGGGAAGCCGTCAAGTGGATATTGAGATATCTCAGAGGTACCTCAAGAGCATGTTTGTGTTTTGGTGTTGGTGATCCTATGCTAGTTGGATATACCGATTCAGATATGGCAGGTGATGTTGATTCCAGAAAGTCCATTTCAGGATTCCTGATGAATTTTGCATGGGGAGCTGTGTCGTGGACCCGGGGTCCACTAGTGTTTTATGTGATATTTGTGTCTATTTTATCATGCTAAGTTGAGATGAGTTGCATGTCACCGGAAAATGTTGCCGGAGGTCCGGCAAGGGCCGGCCTTGGTCTCTGTCCGCGCACATAGCGTGCCAGTGCCCGGCCCAGTGCCAGTTCGTGCCCGCGCCAGCGTGTGCGAGGCACCAATGCTCGCGACCACGCGACAGCAGCGCCTGTCCACGTGTTCCCCGGGCCAGTCCCAGTCCCAGTAGCCCCAGCATGCGTGGTTACGACACCCAGCGTGCACGACCCATGCGCACGGCGCCCGGCAGCGCCGTGCCAAGCCCAGCGCACGAGGTCTCGTGCCAGAGCCTGATGCCAAGTCCAGCGCTGACCCGGGCTGGGTGAGCTGAGCCTAGTGGCCTCGGTGCGTGCCCCAGCAGCGTGCCCGAGTGCCCAGTTACCTCGGGGACACCCGGCAGCGCCCGTGTGGCCTCTGTCCG